ATTTTTAATACTGCTCCATGTTCTACTTTAGTCTCTTTCTATCCACACTTTCCTAATAGTTATTATAACTGTCTGTTATCCATAAAATCCCAAGACTATGGAAGATCTCTTTAAGGTATTCTTTTAATTCTTCAGGTAACCTGTCTCTCCCCTCTGCTTTACTGTAGTTTTGGGTCAGACTCTCATTCTGGCTCTGCCACTACCTTCCTCCCCTATCCTACCTAGGGAAACTATTGCATGCCAATTGATTAAACCAAGACAACTCTGCCTGAGACACATAGATATTCCCTGCCTTTCCTCAACACACTTTCATCTTTCCTCCTTCAAAGTAAAACCTTCTAGAACCACCCAGACAGAAGCCACTGCTACAATTTAAATGTTCATTGGACAGAAGAGACTCAGAAGACCAAGAATTCATTTTCCTATATTCTGACATCAGAGTCTTCCTTTCCACAACAGAATCTTCCCTTGGTGTCCATTTTGACAATTCCTAAAGCCTGTTCCACAGAAAGAAATGAAAGGGAAAATCCTTGCTATCGTGTGTCCTCCTTAACAACCAAGATTGCCCCTTCTCAATACATGAACACAGTGTCATGTTCAACTATAAGCCCCAGCACTTGGCTACCAACAGTAGTACAAACTTCTTACCTGAAATATTTTCAGACCCATTTATCCACCGGTCCAGTTCCATGAACTTATAAGTGGTGATCACAAGGTGTGAATGTTTAAATTTTAAAATTTTATGACAGTAAAAGACATCTTATGGGGAGGAGGTGAAGGGAGGGAAGGGACAAGGGGAAAAAAGGGAACCAAGACCACCTGTCATGTAAAGGTACAAGATCCCAATAATGAATGGAACTGTACTGTATACCTAGAATGTACCAATAAACTCAATAAAAGAAAAAAAAGACATCTTGTCATTACGACCCCCTCAAAATGCTCCCTCTCACTTTCAAAACATGGATCGCATCATTCTTGCCACTTTGTGAAGCAGTTCTGGAAGTTCTTTCTGGCAAGTGACTTAGCAAGGTGTGATTAAAAAAAATTCATTGAATGTTGCTGTCCAGTAACCGTCCGACAGAAGGCAGGACCATAAAACATTATGGATTGAATCGCCCAACTGCCCATCAACTAGATACTGGATAAAGATGTGGTTTTCTATAAATGAAGTACTATTCAGCCATAAAGAATGAGAAACTAGAGTCATTTATAAGTAAATGGATGCATTTTAGGGCCATACTCTTAAGTGAAATAAAAAGGATGCACGTTTTTTCATATATTTACTTGATGCTTTTACTTCTTTGAGAAATGTCTGTTCATTTCAGATGCCCATTTTTGAATCAGATCATTATGTTGGGGGGGTGATTGTTTTGAGTTATTTATATATTACAGATAAGAGTCTTTGAGGAGCAGCTGGTAAAAATTTTTTCCCATATTGTAGGTTGTCTTTTAGTTCCTTTGATGGTTTCTTTTGCAGTGCAGAAGCTTTTTAATAAGATGACATCCCAGTTGTTGATTCTTTCTGATAGTTCCTGTGCTAAAAAAGAATTAACATGAAGTGGGTGCTTTCTAACAAAACAGTGACTATATTCTGATCTGTTATGACTGTTCATAGCCCACATAATTGCCAAAAGATTGTTCTGACCTGGAGATATGATGTAGTCCACATATTTTAGGTAAGGAAGGAACCTGAAAGTGCTGAACTCTAATTCTGTAGGTGACTCAGCTATTTGCCTTTGAGGCACAACTGTAATGTGGGACATTTTGCCTGTGAAGTCCTATATTTAAAGGGAATTGTCTATTTTCTTCAAAGTTATGTCTAGCTTATACTAAACTATGTTAAATTAAAATTATTCACATATTAGTTTTAGAATTTGGAAATTATCTCTAGTCTAAGATTTTGACTATGTACACAGAGTACTTCAATTTGGATAGCATCAACTCTGACCACATTTTGGTCGGGGAGTGGAGTTTGACTAGGTTGCAGTTCTAGAAACACTGTGCTTAATGATATTTTATGGGTTAAGAGGAAACTATTAAAAATGTTAAAATTCATTTGAAAAGGACACTGTGTAAATACTGAATAGTTTCTCTGGTGTGAAAAACTAAAAGTGTAAATAAGGGTCAAATTGTGTAAGTCATAATGTGAAATAAGAATAAAAGGTCTAAAGGAGTAGGGGAAGTGGGAGGATAGGGGAAAGGAAAGAAGGGAAAAGAAAAAATATGAGAAGTGGAAAAATAGAAACAAAGTCTTTGTAAATAGGGAAGGACGGAGGGGTAATGGGGAAGGAAGGCCAGGGGAATGGGAAAAAATAAGAACCAAGATACATCACGTAATGGCACAAGATCCCAATGATGAACATAACTGTACTGTATAACTAAAAAATACCAATAAACTTAATGAAAAAAATTACAGTATGTCTTTATCTACCTTTTTCACTGAATCTGGCATTGTATGACATCTGTCTCTTCATTCATGGTCCCCCAATGACCATAAAAGGTACATATTCAGGATATCCAGGCAGCCATAACAACACAACTAAAGACACTCATGGAAAAACACCTTCCAAGATTGCGCCAGAAAGTGGCAAAAATGATGGGGTGAGTATGCGAGTAAAGTGAGGGAGTATCTTGAAGGGTATCAAAAGCAATGTGTCTTTTACTGTAATAAGCAATTTTTTTGTTTTTGAGACAAGAGCTTGCTTTGTAGTGCGGGCTGACCTTGAACTCACAATGAAGCCCAGCTTGCCCTCCTCAAACTCATAGTGATTCTCCTGCCTCTGCCCCCACAACTGCTAGGATTACAGGTGTGAGCCACCATGCCTGGCTGCAATAAATAATTCTTCATGTAAACATTCACCATATTTTTCAATCAAACCTCGTAGGTCCATTTAAAAAGATTCTCTTCTATATTGATCCTTAAACTACTTTTTTGTTGACGGAATGGTAATTTATTAATTTATGGTGAAAGCTACAAGCAGGTTTTCTCTGAAGCTTATGGTACTCATTAATTAACATTGTATATACCAAGCATTGTACATACCCTAGGTTCATGATAAAGCATATCTCCCAGCTCATATTTAAGCATGGTCTATTCTGCTTTGTATTGCCACATCTAAAAAGTCCTTGCCCTGCTTGAGCCCTCTAACTCCACAAATATATACCAGGTTATTTTCATATGAAAACATGTTGTTAGATAAAATGAGTGATCTAATTACAAATAAGATCTAATAACCATCTTCAGTCTAGGGGGAAAAAGAGATAAATATGCAAATATTTTTATTACGAGGCAGATTAGGGTCAATAGCCATAAAAAACTTTAAAATGATAATACTAGCAGTAATATCCATCCAGACAAGGTTCCCTGTACTTTATGAATATTTTACTATCTCACTTATTCTCCCCCAAACGCTATGAAGTAGATAGTTTTATCTTTGTTTTACACAGAAGCAATCTAAGGTTCTGAGTGCTATAGTGCCTTGTGCAATAGTCAACCACTGGCAAATGAAAACGTTGGGATTCTATTCCAAAGTCTTTGGATAAGACCTCAGGAGAAGTCCAAAAGAAGTAAAAACAATGCCTAGGGGGACATCACAAAAATCTTCATGAATCAGATTGCTCTCAAAATTAATTTTGAAGAATGTTTAGCATTTCAAGAAGTAGAGAAGAATGAGAGACAATTTCAAGGCCATGGAAATAATAACTAGAAATTCAGGAAAATCAGACATTAATGCAGAACAATTAGAGGTATTTGACTAGGGAATAGGATTTGATTAAGAGATTATAGTCAGGTTGGAGCAAGACTGGAAACAACATTGGCTTTCAAGCAGAAGGATCTGTATTTAATTCAGAACATGACAGGTTGTATAACTTTAATTCCAACACTCACCCTAGTGGCACAACAAGTCAAATAAAGCTTCATACTCTGGAATTCGGCTCAGATGAAAAAAAAAAAAAGAATTAGGAATGGAAACAACCCAGAGATGAAAAGATAAAGGATAATTTGAACATTAATGAATTATTAGTGCCAGTTACTGTGTCAGTGAAAAAGCTGATCAGAAGGCCTGGGGTAGGCTGAGTAAAGAGAGAAAGAATGAAGATTCCATAGAATTAGGACTGAGAGAGAAGGAAGATAATACAAACAGAAAGGAAGACTTCAGTTTGATATCTTAGGGGCAGAACAGGCTTGAATGATGACTGATAAAGAGTGATTTTTTTTTTTAAGTGGCAGCAGAAAGAATGGTGATGGAGTCACAGGGGTTCCTGGATGTTTGGTCACCATCGAATCACAGCACCAAGTGCAGGGCCTGGAAATTAGCAAACAAACGTGCAAGTGATGCATTGTCAGAGTCATTAGCAAAGACCCTCAGTGGCCGAAAGAATGACTCAAAGAAGAGATGAAAACTGAGGGGGGGGCATCTCTGCAGGCAGTGAGTACATCACACAAAAAAGACATAATGAGAAAAGAAAAATCTAGGATAAGAAAGCACCATGATATTCAAAAGATGAGATGGAACTACCAGTAAGGGGAAAAAAAAACTACCAAGCCTCATTGGGGTCAGAAAGTTTGTATTCTAATTGTCTGTTCCCCTTAGGGAACAAAGGTAGAGGGACTTTTCAAGATGTGCAGCAGAAAACAGAATCCCATAATATCCTGCGCACAGAAGGCTGCTTCACGGAACTAGACAAGGCAGGCCTTGTTCCCACGACACATGAGAAACCTGGGCCTAGGAAGACCCTTCACATGGCAGGACACAGGGCCACCTGAGGAAGAAGCCCCTGGAGAGTGGGGTGAGCGCCCCCTGTGGCCAGCCCAACCCCTCCTCCCACCCACAATTCTGGGACTCTGAAACTCTGCAACCACCTCTTCCTGGCAACAGAGCCTGGGTCACAGACGCAGCTGTCACTCGTGTCTAATAAATAACTCCAATTGATTTCCCAGCCCAAGGCTTCATCATTCTGTTTTCATCAGCAGCTCTGATTACTGGAGCGGGGTTGTGGGGTGGGGTCTGGAAAATCACTCACATGTTACTGTGCTCTCCATCCCCCAGCCCCAACCCAGGTGCAGATAAAGCCTAAAGCGCCAAGACTGGGAATCTCAGAGCTGAGTGGGCAGACACTGTGCTGTCACTGCTGCTGCTGTCACAGCCCCAGCCCAAGAATATGGACAAGATTCTTCTTTGGGTCTCTGTCCTTACCATTTTCCTGGAGGCCTTTGCTCAGACAGGTAGGAAGTTGGGATGGTCAAGGAGTATGAAAGGAGAAAAGGGGTTGAACCTGGGATGTTTTTTCCCCTAGGTAAAAATCACTGTATGTCTTATTTTGCTCCACAGACCTCAACGAGAAGGTATTTGTGTTTCCTAGAGAATCTGCCAGTGATCACGTCAGCCTAATTGCAAACCTGAAGGAACCTCTGCAGAACTTTACCTTGTGTTTACGAGCTTATAGTGACCTTACCCGTCCCTACAGCCTCTTCTCCTACAGTACCCAAGGCAAGGATAATGAACTGCTACTTTATAAAGAAAAAGTGGGAGAGTACAGTCTATACATTGGAGGGAGCAGAGTCACAGCCAAGGTAATGGAAAAGTTTCCTGTTCCAGCGCACATCTGTACCAGCTGGGAGTCCTCCTCTGGCATTGCTGAGTTTTGGGTCAATGGACAGCCTTTAGTGAAAAAAGGCCTGAAGAAGGGCTACTCTGTAACACCTCAACCCAAAATTATCATAGGGCAGGAGCAGGATGCCTATGGAGGAAAGTTTGATCAGAGCCAGGCCTTTGTGGGAGAGATTGGGGACTTGTACATGTGGAACTCTGTGCTGTCTCAAGATGAGATCCTGTCTGTGTATGAGGGATCCCCTGGACTGGCTAATATTTTGGACTGGCAGGCTCTGAACTACGAATTAAAAGGCTATGTCATCATCAAGCCCCGGGTATGGGACTGAGGTCTAACACTGACCAAATCTCTTGAAAATGAAATGGCCAACATCTATGAGATCTCAAAAACCTGGATACTAGAGCCTTTATCTGTAGTTCTTTTTTGAATGTCCCACCTATGTTTCTGCCTAATAAAAATATTGTATTATGTCCCCTGCACTAGTAATAGTCCCAAATACTTTCTGGTAGATCTACTTTTTTTTCTTTTGGTAATTGATATTTCATTATCCAGGAAAATCCGATTAGAAAACTATGGAGAAGGGAAGCTTTAAGTCACTACAAAGATATCAAAGCCACAGCACTTACTGTGGGGGGTAGTGCCTATAAGCTACTAATAATCATTTTAGTAACAACTTGAAATACATGCAGAATTACAACACAAATTCTTCTATTTGTTTTTCCAACTACAAATCAATCAAAAAGAAGTCTGAGGTTGCTCTAGGGAAATAGCTATAATGAGATAAGTAAGCAATAGTTGAGAACTTGACAGTAAGTAATGAGATGGGGGGAAACTAGGAGACTAGGAATGAAAAGTAAAAATGTATCAGAAACTGAAGCCATTTCATGTGAAGACAAATATAATTTTATGTCTCAAAAATCCCAGAGGTACTGTACAAGTCCTGACTTTCATAATGCTGCCCCAATGTCCTCAAGATCACATTATAATCTGAATACTGCTCACATTAATGCCCTATTTAAAATCCATTTATGGATCGCTTCTTCTCACGGGATATAATTTAAACTTCCTCATATGACTTTGCTCTCCATAACCTGATTTTCTCACCTCTCTGTTCCATTTCGGATGCATCAGAGCACAGCAAGTGACTTGCTGATTCTAACACTGCAAAACAGTTGTAGAACTTACCAGTCCTAGTTATTTTCATAGTGCCTAGCATATTCTTAAAAAATAGATGCTATGGCTTAGATCTTAAATGTCCCCAAAAGACTCATGCATTTAGAGGTGGGACTTTTGGAAGGTGATTGGATCATGGGGGTGCTGTACCTGACTTGCTGGTAAGAGGCTGGATCTGGTAAGAAGAAGTGGGTAACCGGGAGCATGAGCCGGAAGGTTATATATCTCCCTCCTTGGTTCCTCCCTTCTCTCTGCTTTCTGGCTGCCATGATGTGAGGAGCTTTCTTCCACCAGACCCTCCCACCATGCCCTTCCTGTCTTGGATACAGCAGACTATGGAGTGAAAAAATGAGCCCAAACAAATGTTTCTTTCTTCCTTTAAGTTTTGGGTGCTGGGTATTTTGTCTCATGGATGAGAAAGTGACTAAGGCAGTAGGGCTTGCCTTTCCACAGAAGCAAGGACCACAGAGGGCATTTGGGGTGCATACAGACAAAATGGCAGACTTTTTATCCACAGATGACAGAGCAAGAGGCCAAGAGAAATCAGAAAGATAATAACCAGGACAGCAGGACAGCCAAAATGGTTACTTCAATCGCCTGATGCCAATCACCCAGAATGAACCAAGAGGCAGCCAAAAGACCAAGAAAGGAGAGAATCTGAGAATTCTGTAACAGATTAAAGCAAGGAGGAGCAGGAAGAACCTAGGAAGTTTTGCTACTCAGAGCATCAACCTAGTTAGACAGGGATTATAGTAATGTGGAAAATAATTAGTTTCTAGTTTCTATCTCATGAGTTCAGGTTTGCTTTATGATCTCTTAATATGAACCACCTCTCCATAAACTTGTAGTGTGAGCACTAGAAAGATCTATTCTCATCTAACAAATGTTTCCCAAGAACATGTGAACACATTGTTTGCCCTAACATTGTGTAAGCATTCAACGGTAGGCTGTTTTAGTTTAACAATCCCTCTGCCAACAAACCTAAGCAAATTTCACAAGTGAAGCCAGCGCACTCAAATAGTAGCACCCATTTGTTCAATTAATTATTGAACCACAATTCCATTCCAGGCACTCTGCCAGGTGCTGAAAATGTTATATTGGGTGAAATAATCACGTTGTTTGCCTTTGTGGAGTTTATATTCTAATAAGTCTGTGTCATCTAAATATGGATTTCTCCCAACAATAATCAGCCTTCCTGCAATACATTCCTTAAAATTCTAGATTTTTATTCTATTTTGGGTTGATTTCCCAATGCTCCCCTTACCAATTCCATCTGAGTTAGAGGCATCATTTATTTTTGTTGATCATTTGCAACTTCTTATATATCACTTAGGATCTGCTGTTCAAATCTAGTTTCTTGCCCGTGGAAATCCTCTGCCCCTTATAATGGTTGTTTTTTCACAAAATCTAAGGTTGTTGGCTCTTTCTTATGAGTTAGAGGTATTATTTATTTTTATTGATCATTTGCAACTTTTTACATGTGTCTTAAAGTCTGCTGTTCAAATCTAGTTTCTTGCTCTTGGAAATTTTCTTCCCCTTAAAATGGATTTTTTGACAGAATAGAAGATCACTTGTCAGCTCTTTCTTCTAGGTGGCCCACACTTCATCCAGAAGAAACCATCATTCATTCTTTGTCTCCATAAACTCTAGGAGTCAAAGACTATCTGAATGCAGAAAATACATTCTTGCTTCTACCATGGCTGTAGCTCCCTCAAATCCTCTAGGAGGAGCATATTGTAATCCTTCTGAGTGATTCCATGGGAATCCCCTCATTAAGCCTGATATGAAAGAAGTGGAAGGATCAACCATAAACTCTGAAGATACCGGGGAGGATCCCCACTTCTCCCTCAAGCAACAAATCTATCCAAAATCTTTGGAAAGATTGCTTCCAATTTCTACATTCTGTCTAGTCTCCATACCTTGTAGCAGGCAGGACACAAGAGCTGGTTCTTAATCATTTCCTCTGTCATTTTTTCATATGAGTAACTGCTATTTTTATTATCGAATATGCAAGTTTATGATATCAATGGCTCATTGAAAACTGAAGAAAGGAAAGTTCCTTTTAACCTCATTTAAAACAGAAATGGAATTTCTGGAAACTTGATTTGGGCATTTTTCTCAAGAACAGCAGTTGACACAATGAAGAAAGCAGCAAAAGTCACATAGGAAAACTACACAGGTGATTTGGCCTATAAGGAAAATGGAAAGATTCAGAAATCACTGTAACCCAGGAAAACGATGTCGGTAGTGATGCCATAATTGCCTTGATAATTGTCCCCTCCCCACGCTTACCACTTAGGTTTAAACCCAGAGAACAAGTAATGCACAAGGTGTGCAATGAGGGGAACAGCAATCATCTCTAAAAAGAGAAGCAATTTTGAGCCTCTATCTTGTACAAATAAGGACCTGATCCTTATCTGCTGGCTACAGAAAATCAAATAAAAACCTTTAGCCACATGGTTCTAGGACTGGTTTCCCCAGAGATGTCCACAGAGGATTTTCCTGGATGAGGAGGTTCTGCTATTAGCTCTCTGTAGGTTTGTTTCATATGGGGACCTCTTTGGAGAGGTCTGAAGTTAAAGCGATGAGCTCTCTTTGACTCAGAATATACCTCAACTCAGACTTGGTTTAGAGTGAGAAAGAAAAAGATATTTTAACAGTATCAACACTAGAAGGCACAAATACATAGTCACATTTGGAGAGTAATGTGATGACTCTTGGTATTCATGTGACTTTCTAGAAAGTATAAGTGTCTGGGTCCATTCAAAGAACAGAAGGAAAGGGAAGGAGGAATGACATGAGTCACTTTTAAACTTTGTTGACAGGATTAAAGAGCTGATTAATTTATCCACTTGTCTCCATTTTTATTTTAAAATGTTTTATTTAGTGTTTGTCTGGCATTAGCCACTCATCTCAAAGTTCAATTGAGGAGATGCCAAGAGGTTCCACCAAATAGTTTGAACACTGCTACAGGCATAATGGCACATAAAGCAAAGTAAGTCTAATGTTATCGATACAGTGTAATGAGCTCTGGTCACAGGGCTGTGTCTACAGGGAGAGACCAAAGGCAAAGCACTTCACCCAGAGCACTAGTGGCTGCAAGTTTCTCAAGGCAATTTCATGGGGTTCTTGGGGGGATTAAACGGGATGATATATGCAAAGACCAACTCAGTACAAGTTCTAACACAGTGTAAGCTCAGCAATTGTCATCTGTGATTTTAATGAGGATAAGTATAAAAATGATTCCCTAAAACTTTAAGTCATTCACCTGTTTTAACTCCTTGCTATAATCCAAAAAACAAAAAGGAATATCCATGCTCCATTTTCAGTTCCTGAACCTAAATCTAATTTTTACCTAAACAGATGAGGTAAATTCTTTCTATACGCAAAGAGGACCATCACGTTGGACTTAATACAAGTGCTTTTCTCATTGATAATAACTCATCAAAGACAAAGCACTATCAAGGATCCAAAAGAATGCTGAATGGTGCCAAGCGATCGGCAGCACATCCTCACCTGAGCTGAGCTAGTCTTCCCTGTAGGAAGAGCTAAGTCCCAGGCTATGTGAGGCCAAAGTTTTCCGCGTATTCCTCGTGTGACCCACTTATAATGAGATCCCCTGACTCATTCCTTGACTCTGATAAGGCTTTTGGAAAATGAACCCAGGAGACAAGAGCTAGACAACAGAACTTCTCTTTCCAGAGTCCCTTCCAAATCACAAAATTTAAGGGGGCGGCATCTCTAAAGGCAAAGCCAAGAGAGCCAGCAGGGCTCTGTGTGATTGACACCTCGTGCTCAGCCAGTGTCCAATGAAATACAAGTGCCCTAATAATCTAGTAAGATTGGCCCAGACCCTGATAAGGCTAATCCTTGAAAGACACAAAAATACCGTGATTTCCTTTAGCAAAAAAATGACAGTGACATTTCCTGGCATTGCAGTAGTCTCTTGTAAATAGATCATAATTATCTGGTATGTTTTAAAACCAGAAAACCGCACAGACAAATTTCCTGCATTCAGGAAAGGAGCAGACGCTTTTGGGTTTGAGGAGGCTTCTGTCTCACATAAAAGCATCATTCTCCTTGCTTATTTAAGTAGTTCATGTAAGCATCAGTCTCTTACAAAGTCCCCTTCTCCACCTCTGTATCCTTGGCTCTATTTGTTGTTAAAATGACAGGCTAGGAGAGGGAAGGGAAGCGAAGGAAGGAGGGAGAGAGAGGGGGAGGGGAGGCAGAAAGGGAATTGTGGTAATGAGGCACTATTATTTTTAACTGCAAAATTCCTTTACACACAAAATTTAATTACAGA